AAGCAAATGAAAATAAAGAAACTTGGGTATATGCAGCAAATGAATTAAAAGAGATTTTCTGACTTGAATTTGCCATCTAACTCATAATTGGCTAAATTCATACATGGTAAGTAAAAAGTTGAACTTTAGCATCCAGGAATAATTATTTCCTTTCCTTTTATAGAAGAACAACGTTAGGAAAAAATGTAAAGACAGATCCATACACATACTAGCAGAACTACTTCGCATTGCCTGGGACCTAAAAAGTTAAAAATAAATCTGGTATAAGAACAATATAACTTCAAATTTATTAATTAAAACACAAAAATATCTTTAAACAGTTTTTTACATTACAATATTTCTTGGTAAACAGTATTCTTTGTCCTTCCATGTGGAGTATAAAACAAATTGGTTTTACTTCCTACACGTGAACAACCAACCCATGAAAGAAGCAAGATTCTTCTAACTGTAGTCCAGTAACTGATCTGAGTCTGGCCTTGTGTTTTGTTAATACATATAGCAAAACTTACTCATATAGAAAATGAAGTCTCCTAAATGTGAATGGAATATCCAACCCTGATGGATTTGAGACATGATCTGACTTTATCTACTCTGTTCCCTTTTGATGTGATCAGCAGTGTTTGTCTAAAGTCTCCAGTTGACAATCCCTAATGTATCTCATGGTTTGGTCCAATGCTTTCAGAGCTGCCCTTTGCCATCTCAGAGGTTTTGCTGATATTGCAAATTGGATTATTGGATGAAATCAAGTCCAATGGAAGCTTAAAAGTTGAATGTGCAGTTCAGCTACTAGGCAGCAAAATGGCAGCAATGCCAGATAAGGCCACTCCCAAAGCTATGTTCTCGTGTTGTTGAACTTTGACTAAAAGCAACTTAGTAACAAATGTCTTTCCTGTCCCTCCAGAAGCATCTAAGAAGAACATTCCTACTTTGGAGAAGTGGACACTGTCAACAACAGTGTCATAAGCTCTCCTGAGGCCCAGAATCAACCTTTGCTCATTTTCATCAACATATGCACAGAGGGCATTGATGCCATTGGATATTTCTCTCAATACTTCTGTGGGTAAGGCATTGGTCCAAGTCTGATGAGTTTTGAGCAGCCCATATGTTGGTAACACTTTCCCTCCCAGAGAAACAACATTGTTTTCTACAACAATTAACACCCTATTGCAAATTTCATCACTGAAATCTATTTCCATTTTCGTGCTTAGTCTTCTGATAAGCTATGTAGTAGCCACCATTTTTGCCACTCGACTGTCTACATATAACATTTTACAGACCCAATTGTTTTCCCCTTTTTAATCAGATCCACTTTTCATGCTCTTCTAGTGTTTATTTTATATAAAAAAGGATTTGCATCAGATTGCTATTTTCTTTTTTTTTCTTTTTCTAGGTTCCATGGCTAATTCATGTAAAAACGTTTTCAATGGTCCAAAGAAAATTGCGCACAAGCTTACAAATTTCTTTATATCTTTTTCCGCAGCTCACCCGAATTTGAAAGGAGTGGATCAAGGAAGTTATTATTTTGTACTCACATATGGCTTTAAAAAAAAAAAAAAAAAAAAAAAAAGGCATGTTAACACACATCCAGAAACAATGCAAAATTCTTTTTTTAAATACTGGTTGTTTGTAGATTGTAATATGCTTTTAGATTTATGATTAGTAAAAATAGTTTTACTTAATAACAGTACATTGAAACTGAATTTTAAAAGATTTAACAACTTTATAAATTATTGTAATGCACAAAAAAAAAAAAACAATTCTTGTAAAAATTCATTTTTCATTGAAATTTTTTTTTTGCCTCAGATAATATTATCCTTAAACTTAACTTATATTATAAATAAAAGCAATTAAAAGCTTTTCTAATTCAATAATGTCTTAGTTTAATTGTTGTTTTTTGTATTTTCCAATTCAGAGCTGATTTTTGGTAACAGGTCATTTGATTTTAGATTGTTTTTATTATTATTATTATTTATCTTTTTTTTTTTCTTTTTTATTATGCTTTATTCTTCAATCATTTTTTAAAATTAATTTTTAATATACTGTCCTCCACCAATTTTTCTTTCTCATCGCACAAACAGAAATATAGACACAATCTTTCTTTTATATATATACATTTTCACTGGTCCAAAGAAAATTTCACATAGGCTCATGAATTTGTTTAGTCTTTTTCTTCAGCTCGCCAGGCAATCTCTTTGAACTTAAAGTTTTCTTTTATAGCAAGCAAATTTCTTTCAGTCTTTTTCCTCAACGCATTCAAATTTGAAAAAAGTGGGGGAGTTTAAAAAGGTGTTAGCTTGGTCGTTGTATAAACAAACATCCATGCATACAGACACAATCTTTCTTTTTTATAAATGCAAATAATGTACGTGACAGTACAAGAGAATCACATTTGAAATGTGTAGAATTTATGCCATTTAGTATTCTAAAAACTATTATTTACTCTCAATTTTATCAAATTATTTACAGCATTATATTTTAAGTAGATTTCTAAAAGTTTTATTTGTTACAAAATCATTTTTACTAGAGAATTACATTTCAGACTGAGACTATAAGCACAAAAAAAAAAAAAAAAAAAAACGAAAAAACAAAAAACAGATTGATTTGGTACTGCGTTCCTTGATCTATTTTAAAATAAAGAAGGAAAAAAAAAAAAAGTGTTGGTGGGGGGGGGGTCAAGGGAAATAATTCAAAATAGAAAGCTGAATGATTTGCCTCCCTTGTAATTAATTTATTTTTAATCCTAACCTGTACATGTCTTCCATATTGTCTCCTTCAAATATGAGAATGTCAAAAATGAGCAAAATCATAAGTTGACATGTAGAGGAGGTTCAGCATTGTCCAAGAAATGGGAAATTTTCTAAATTTTCACAATTATGCACCAAAGTCTGAAAGCAGTTGAACCACAATTTAATCCGAAGTTACACTTTGTATCAATGTCCTCAGAAGTCAAAAGTGAAATATGGATGAACAAGAACAAATAGGATGACACGAAAACGTGACAGTCTCTAAGATCATTTTAGCATACAGGAACAATATACTGGAGTTTAATCAATTTGAAGAAAAATTTCCATTTTGAAAAGGTCTGAGAAATAAATCATTCATATGCACAAGAATTCAAAGATACATTCAATTTCCATTTTCTTTTTCACATCTTAAATTTAATGTTGGAAAAAGGCTTTGAGATTCCACAAAATACTATGTGAATCCAAAGAAACAGTTAGACAGAAGAGGCTGATTTCATATGCATTTCTGACATACCATTAGTTAAGAATACAAACTGAATACATTTATTACAAGAACTGATTGATAAAGTCTCCAATTCTATAAAACGTGTTATGAAAATAAAGGAAAATTATTTCTCTCCAAAATTCAAATTGATAAGGTCCCCCGCTTTTCAAGCAGTTTTCGATCAGAGACAGAATTTGGAAAACAGTATCAAAACCAAGTAAAATTATTTTTCTTTAGAATTATGATTCTGTTATGAAGAAATTATGCTTTTCTTTGTATTTTATCAGTCTAGTGGTAGTCATTTATTTTACATATGAAGAGCTTCTCTATCCTTACTGCTTGGGCATTTATATAGTCTACACCACAGCTATGCTAATTAGGAAGTCATTTACATATCACTACAGAGTCAAGTCATGAATAAGGTTTGCAATCCTCTAAAACAAGTTTTATACCAGACAGAATAAACAAGCTGGTATCAAAATGAAGTCAACATATTTTTTCTTCAAAATTAAAAATTGATCATTCAAGAGAGTAATCATTTAATTACTCAGATTTTTTTCAAATTGTCCTACCTGCATTTTTCTTTGCATCCATGGACAAAGTTTCCAATTTAATTTTAATCTAAATAACAGCAACTTCAGTTTCAGTGGTAGATGAAATGTGTTGACTTTTCAACACCTTTGACAATTTTAGTAACAACCAAATTGAAGCTATACAATGAATAGACAACAAATATGAATTTCACATCATTTCTGCCATTTATTGGCTGTAATGCAGCCTGGCGTTGTTGTGATGCAAAAGAAAGTTCTTTTAATAAGCCTTATTCTGCAGATGCATTGTTTGATACATCTGTGATTGGTGTGCAACTTCTTAGTGCCAAAAATCCTATCATTGCTTGTCACTTTATATATGCATATGATTAATAAACATTATTACACAATGTCATCATAGTAAACTGACACTAAGCAAATTTGAGCAGGAGTTTATATATGAGAAAGTACTTTTATTGATTCATTCATTTTCTACAGCTTATGAACCCTTTGCAGGTTATTTAAAGCCAGGAAATAGTTTTAGATTGCAAGAATTTTTTTTTTTGAGATATAGATTTAGTGATACAAATCTTATAAATTAAACCATAGCTGGGTGACAAGAAGTGGATTCGTCCCTAATCAGAATTAGATAAACAAACAAGAAATTATAATGCAAATATAAAGTGGGGGATCAATTCTATATTACAATCAATATATAAACTGATCCCTCACTTTGTGGTTACAGTAGTTTCTATACATTCCTATTCCAGAGAATGTAAATAAATCTAAGACATTCCTGTGTAGTTAATCAGTATTTCATTGATTGATTCGCTTTCTATGGCTTATCAGTAAACAAGAAATTATAATGTCGATATAAAGTGGGGGATCAATCCTATATTACAATCAATATATAAACTAATCCGTCACTTTGTGGCCATGGTAATTTCTATACATTTATTTTCCAGAGAATGTAAATAAATCTAAAAGACATGCTTGTGTAACTAATCAGTATTTCATTGATTGATTTATTCATTTACTATGGCTTATCAATCCCTTTGCAGGTTATTTAAACCCAGAAAATATTTTTAGATTGTAAGAAATTTTTACGGTGGAGATAGTAATGGTTTACTGATACAATTCTTACTAATTAACCTATAGCTGGGGGGAGAAGAGGTGGATTCATATCTTTCCCAATTGTATTTGCACTTAAGTGAATATTACCAATTCTGAGCCATTATCCATTACACCACCTGTTATCCCCAAGTGGTCATCCATCTAGGTACTGACCAGGCTCAATATTGCTTAACTTCAGTGATCATGCAGGAACCGGTGTTTCAACATGATATGGCCATAAGCACAAATACTTTCTGTCTGAATTAGTGGCATGTGGATTTATCATTTTTGTTGTTATCACAATGTACTTTAAATAAAGGGTTCAGTTCAGAATTCCATGTAGGTTACCTGGATATACACCAATGAAGGCCAGAGAACACAATGGCTGAAACATTGTGATAACAACATCAAAGATGAGGACAACAGTAATAGCAATAGTAAGCATCCATTTATCTTGCAAGACAATGGTAGTGCCTTTTTTGGTCAAACACTGTCCGTTTGGGAGCAGCGTTTGGAGTAGCTTAACAGACCAATCTTTGCATGACACTCTTCCACAAGTGTGACAGATGAAGCTACAATTTGGAACGGAGTTCATACATTGCTCTCTATTCTTCCTTTGCTCTCTTCTGATCTCCAACAGTTGACTCCTCTATGAACAGCATGGTTCCAACTGCTGCAATTGTCTGCTAGCTGTTCTCAGCTACCAGAATCGATGCCTGTGCATTTTGGACCCCACTTGCAAACATTTTTGAAAAAGGAGTGTGAGTCTGCCTACCAGATGGTGTCCCATGACCAGCTCAAAATACATGAAATTTTTTGGTATATGCCTGCCATTCATACAATGTATGTGACCCAGCCATTGAAGATGACATTGATAAAGGAAAAGACACTACCAGAGTTGATCCTTGTGTATTTTAGGTCCCTCTTGCAAACATTCTTGAAATGTAGTGAGGTCTGACCTGATCAAAGATGATATTGACAAAGAAGAAAATGCATACTCCAGGTGTCTGTTTGCTCCAGCAGAACAGTGTTGGTAACTTTGTATCTCCATGTGATGCCAAGGATATATCTGAATGTAAATAGTGTAAATACCAAGTACATAATGTAAACTTGTTTCTATCTTTTGTTGTTATATATATATATATATATATATATATATATATAAATAAATAAATAAAAATGAGATAACAATATATATTTTTGCATATCAAAAACAGTATTGGGGAAGAAATTGTATGATAAAATGTAAAAAGTTTACTTGAGATGGGTTTCATCCTTCAGGACTTCATCAAACTAACATAAATTTAATTTGATGAAGTCCTGAAGGACGAAATGCATCACAAGTAAATTTTTTCCACTTTGTATATATATATATATATATATATATATATATATATATATATATATATATATATATAAACAAGCTCTTTAGTGTTATAGAACATGGCTGGTCTCAGAGATGAAAAACTCTTACATGAAAAGCCTGAGGTCTATTGTCTGCTTTGTCTGTGGTATTTATTTGCACAGACTGAGTTTATCAATAGTTCCAAAAAGTGTGGATGGTTCTGCACAAGCCTTCACCACTTTAATCAAATCATTTGTGTGGGTTTTCTGGTGGTTTACCTTGATTTGTTTTTATCCACACAGTTCACTTGCAAGGTCCGCTGGCAAGAGAGTGAAGGCGACTGGGTCAGGTAAAGGATATTACTGGAAGGCTCTAGCTTGAGATCTACACAGTGGCAGACCGATGGGTGATGGCCGTTCTTTCACAAACCCATGAGCAAGTGTGATGTCGATGTCCTCTATCAGTGACAAAGCAGCCCTATTTGGGATCTGCACTGCTTTCTCTATTATGGGGAGGGGGCAATAAAAGGAGCCCTAAACATTGCTTGCTCACACAGAGATTGGCAGCCCACTGCAGCTGTCTGGTTATTCAATAACGCAGTCGAAACAGCAAGAAAGATCAAAAGAAATATAAGAAGAATTTTCATTTTGGATCCTGGAATGTTTGCACTCTCCAGGACAATGATTCTGCACCAGAGCGTAAAACAGCTCTTGTTTCTCTTGAGTTGAAGTATAACATCAACATAGCGGCCATTAGTGAAACACGTCTGGCTGGCAATTCTCATCTTATGGAAGAACAAGGTGGATACATGTTTTTATGGGCTGGCAAGACTGAGAAAGAGCCACACCAGTCTGCTGTTGGCTTAGCCATCAAGTCAGACCTTGCTAGCTTACTGCCAGTCTTACCTAAAGTTGTATCAGATCGTATAATGGCATTAACCCTCAATCTGGAGTGCAACTACCATGTGACGATGTTTAGCTGCTACGCGCCAACCTTAGGTAGTTCAGAGCAAGAAAAAGATGATTTTTACAATCTTCTTCGGGATGTCATCTCCAAAGTCCAACTTAAGAATAAATTAATTCTTACAGGTGATTTCAATGCTTGTGTTGGCAATGATTATCATACTTGGAAGGGCATTTTAGGTCACCATGGTGTTGGTCATATGAATTTGAATGGATTACACCTTCTCACTATCTGTATAGAATTTGACCATAGTACTACTAATACCTTCTACCAGCAACCCAGCTCGAAAGCCTGGCATCTGATCGACTACATCATCACCAAAAGACGGGACATAAAAGATTTTAAGATAACGTGTTCATTCCACACAACATGCTATCTGTCAGATCACGCTCTACTTCGGAGTAAAGCTACACTTCATCTGCAAAAGCGAAGGATTATAAAATCTAGTGCCCAAGCGCATTAATGTACTGCCTCTTAAATCAACTGAAATGAAAATTGAGCTCTTTGACTTAATTCTGTAAACATTACAATGATATTGAATCATCTTAGAAGGCTCTGCAGGATGCAACATATTCTACATCCTTGGAGGTTCTCAGCCTGCCATATCGTAAACATCAAGACTGGTCTGATAACGATAATATAGAGGTTCAGCAGCTTATAGATAAATTGCACTCTTCTTATAAAGCATGGATTGAGGACAAGAACTTGTCCGATAAGAAGATTGCTTACAAGAAGTGCAAAAGTCAGGTTTCATGAGCTCTCAGAGCCATGAAAGAGCATTGGTGATCTGAAAAGGCCACTGAACTCCAAAAAGCTTCAGATAGAAAGGATGTAAAGGCTTTCTATGCTGGCCTCAAGAGCGTTTTCGGTCCTCAGAAAAGTGGTGTTGCTCCAATCTCCACAGAGGATGGTGAAACTCTCTTGACAGATAAGTTAGACATTTTAGATCGCTGGAAAGGGCATTTTGAAACTGTGTTAAACACCACTTCAGTTACTAATGCGGGAGCCATAACATCAATTGAGTAAAATCCAGAAATTCCGGAGTTGTCTTTTGAACCTACCTATCAAGAGGTAAGTGACTCCATCAAGCAAATCTCATCTGGAAAATCACCTACTCCTAAAGATCCTATTCCACCAGAAGTGTATAAGCATGGTGGCCAAAAGTTTGTAGAAAAGTTACATCTCCTTTTCGTGGAGATATGGAAGGCAGGCTGTATCCCACAGGATTATAAAGACACCTCTATTAAACACCTCTACAAAAACAAGGGTTCCAGGTGTGTCTGTGATAATCATCGGGGGATATCTCTACTTTCAATTGCAGGCAAAATCCTAGCGAGACTGATTCTAAACAGAATCATTATACACCTTGATGACATCTATCCTGAATCGCAATGTGGTTTTTGGTTGGGTCGTGGCACCATTGACATATTTTCTCTTCAAGTTGCAGAGAAGGTTTGCAAGAAAAACCAGGAGTTATATATGGTGTCTGTGGACTTGACGAAGGCCTTTGACAGGCTCTTTGGCAAGTATTGAGGAAACTCGGCATCCCAGAAAACATGCTAAAGGTCATCATCTCCTTTTATGAAGGAATGAAAGCTAATATCATCTCTGATGGCATGATGTCAGAATCCTTTGATGTCACAAATGGCACCAAGCTAGGGTGTGTCATGGCCCCTGTCATTTTCGCCCTTTTCTTCTCAGTGATGCTGAAATATGCATTCGCAAACAGAGAGATCGGTGTCAAGTTTCAGTTTTGAACAACTGATGGACTCTTCAATCATTAGTGCTTCAAAGCCAAGACCCACCTTCATACACAAATTATTCATGATTTGTTGTTTGCTGATGATGATGCTCTTGTTGTGACATCCTTTAAGGAGGCCCAACATCTAATAAATCGTTTCTCTGCTGCATGTAAAGCCTTTGGTCTTACACTTAGCATAAAGAAAACTGAAGTAGTGCACCAACCTTTCCTACTCCAAAGCAATTCTATGGTGAGAAACAAAAACCACCAGTCTACAAATTTCCAGAGAGACCATTGAAAGTAGAAGACAAATCCCTGAACTATGTAAAGTCTTTCACCTATCTTGGTAGAAAGGTCAACTACAGTGGAACTTTAGATGATGAAATCATGCACCAGATTACTAAGGCTACCAGTGCTTTTGGCAAACTTTGCCATCGCTTGTGGAATGAGCGGGGTATTTGATACAAAAATTCGGGTTTACAAAGCTGTTGTTCTTGTCATCCTTTTGTACGGCTCAGAGTCATGGACTATATACACCAGCTGGATGTTTTCCATAAAAGCTGTCTGCATGTCATCTGTGGAGTTACCCTTCAAGATATGTCATCTAATATAGTGTAATATATAGGTGTAATATTGGAGGAATCAAGACTTTTCTTATACAGTCTAAGTTACGGTAGACTGGTCATGTCTTGAGAATGTCTGATGACAGGATATCCAAGATCCTAATGTACAGCCACTTAGATCAGGACTAAAGGAATTTAGGATGCCCATGGCTAAGATACAAAGACAAACTGAAGAGCAACTTGTCAGCTGTCAATATACCTCATAACATCCTCGAGCACTTAGCCTTGGAGAGGGTAGAATGGAGATCAACATGTTTTAGTGGACTCAGCAGTTTTCAATCAGCTTGTCTGAATCATCTTCAAGAAGCAAGAGCAAGATCTAATTAGGACCATTCTTTCATAGGATTTAACATTGTTAAGCATTTTTTGCCCTCTCTAGGCAATCTAGGCTTCAAGCTCTTCACTTTACTGAATGGGTAGGTTTGCTTTTTTCCAGTATTGTCATTCTTGTTTAAGACTTTATCTGGATAAGAATTTTAGGCTTTGGCAGCACTACTTCCTCCAGGCACTTGATGTTATGCCCCCATTCATATTCTCAAAGGGAAGAAGAATGGAGGTATAACATTGCA